TAGTGCCATACCCTTTGCAAGCATTGTATTGGACGGTCTCAAGTGACTTCGGGGTGAACTTTCTCCTATCTTTGAGTTTGGCCTTTTTACCGATTGGATTCGATCGGTTTGAATGAGGTGGAGTAAATGACCTTGGCAATCGGGACCTCGAGGCTTGGGAGTTGTTTTGAGAATTTTTTCTCTTTAGCAAAGATGTGAAGCGTCTCGTCATGTGTGCAACTCCTTCTTCATCAAACTCATTTTCCTTCATATCACGAACTAGATTCTCCAAGTCATCACCATCTTTAGTGACCGATTGAAGGGCGATCCCTTTTCCTTTCCCGAACGATGCACTTTTTCCTTCAAGATCTTGTACCTCAAGATTCATCTTGAACGTCTTGAGAGTGCCAACAAGGTCATCAAATATAATTGTTGTCACATCCTTCGAGACATCAAGCGCTGTGATCATCATGTTGAAGTGCTTTGGAAGAGATCTCATCACTTTCGCCACGAGCTTTTCATTCGAGATCAGTTCTCCAAGAGAGTAGCACTCATTTGCAATATTCATCAACTTGGCCGTGTATGACGAGATATTCGCGTTTTCGAGCATCCGAATTGTCTCGAATTTTGCTGCAAGGAGTTGCAGTCTCGTTTGACAAACACTCTTCGAACCCTCACAATGATGTTGCAAGGTGTCCCATGCATCTTTGGCAGTAGTGCACGTGCTAATTAAGCGAAACATGTTCTCATCGACCGTGTCAAAAATTGCATTGAGTGCTTTTGAATTGAAGTTGGCCAACGAGCACTCATTCGTATTGTACTCAGCTTTATTTTTCTCGTGTTTCACCCCTTCAACTTCTACGGTAGGAGGATCCCATCCGGAAAGTACAGATAACCAAGCGTGTCCATCAATAGATTTAATGTATGACGTCATACGCATCTTCCAAATGGTGTAATTTGAGCCATCGAGAATCGGAGGCCGAAACAGCGAAGTTCCCGTGAACTCCATATGTACCTATCAAGACAGAATCACACTTATTAAACTGAGCGACCTACTCCGATGCCACTTGTTAGAATTTTAGGTACCGAATATTCCAGATTTCACACGAAAATCAGAAATAAAAATACGCAGCGAAAAATAAATAAACAGAAAGATTAAAAATTTAGCCTACAAGTGAAAAACACTTGTAGACTAAAGCAATTGCCAAAATTCTACTAGAATAAAATAATCACAAAATTTTTCATCCAATCCAAAAACATCTAATGAACTATGAAAAACACAAAATGTGAGTTCAATAATTGTATGATCTATGTCACATCAATATCATCAAATAAATCATACCAAAAGAGAGAATGATGGAAAAATCAAAACTGCTATTTTCTTCTAGTGAACCACACGCTGAAGCTTCAAAAAACTAATGAATAAAATGAGTGCTATCTCTTGTCAGTTTGTCTGCGGCTCTTCCAAATTGCACCAAGACAAAAATAGACTCTCTGATTGCTCTCTTCTTCCAAGTCAAAGATCGTGTGCTCTATTATCTTTTCAAGCCCTAACCAGGAAAAAAACTCTGCTGCTCTTCTGTCTCTTTTTAAAGCCCATCCAAACTCTCTCTGTGTCACACCCCTCAAAACCGTATGCTCTGCCAATCACCAAATCTATTTAGGACTCTTAATGAGATAAGGAAATAAAAGATATATAATTACTAAAATAAATAGATACAGAAAAGCAAAAACAAAAGAAATAAAAGATATATATATATATATATATATATATATATATATATATATATATATATATATATATATATATATATATATATATATATATATATATATATATATATATATATATATATATATATATATATATATATATATATATATATATATATATATATATATATATATATATATATATATATATATATATATATATATATATATATATATATATATATATATATATATATATATATATATATATATATATATATATATATATATATATATATATATATATATATATATATATATATATATATATATATATATATATATATATATATATATATATATATATATATATATATATATATATATATATATATATATATATATATATATATATATATATATATATATATATATATATATATATATATATACGTACGAATTAACACTTACATATAAATTATATCAAATTCAGGTTATGTGTTTAGTAATTATTTGTGTTAATTTTGTAATCAGTTCATGTGCTTTCAAATAATTAATGCATGTGCTTTCAAATAATTAATGTAGATCCACACTATTATTCATATCTATTACCACTTTTAAAATTATATAAGACTTTGTAAAAGTAAAAATTAAAAATATATTTTTAAGACTTGATAATCTTTTAATTTATTGTCAATTTTATATATGAAAATAAAATTAATTGTTGAAAACTTTTCAAGATTTTTGATTTGTTGATACTTATTCCAAGTTTAAACCAACAAACAATTATATCTATCCTTACAAATATAATTAAATTATGTCATTATTTTTCGATTAAATGTATGATATGAATTAGAACAAAATATTGTACTTTCATGTGTTAGGTGTTATTTTAAACTAAACAAATTTAGAATCTCACATGGCGTCACACATCTTCAAAATCTTTATCTTGACAATCACAGGGCACACAACAAAAATAAATACAATTAAATATAGTCTACGATAGCTGAGAGCCTATATATTAAGATTGCGATTGGTTTCCAATCAAGATTTTGATGTATCGGAATTTATTTATTTATGTTAACACAAGAATTAATTCAAATTTAACTAAACTCGACTACTTTTAAAGCATCTTCAAGACAATGAAGCGCAGTTTGATGGTAAGACGCTTCGTAGGTTCGAGTCACTGAGAAGAAAAAGTGAGAACACTATTAAAAGTTGTTTCATGTTGTCTGATTATTGTAATAGTGTTTTTTAATTGTTGTGTCATTCACTATTTCATATGTTTGTTATAAAAATTAATTTCGTAATATTTTATTGATACATGTTGTCCGATAATTGTAATAGTATTTTTTAATTGTTGTGTCATTCACTATTTCATATGTTCGTTATAAAAATTAATTTCGTAATATTTTATTGATAATTGAAATTTATTTTTATGTTGCTTGACAGACGGTATATTGTTGTTTTGTTGTGAGGACACCCAATATTAGATTTCTTTTATGTTTGTTTTAGTTTCGAAAAGATCAATGATGGTATAAATGCTCTGTTTTTCGTTTTATTCTTATTTTTTTCTATGCATTATTAGAAATTAAAGCATTTTTTAAAAAAAAAATTGAATTGTTTGTCTGATTTTTAACTTCCTTTTTTTTTTAAATTTAAAGTTAATTTGAAATTTTTGTTTATCCTTTTATTTTGACCGTTTTACATAAGTTGGAAGAATTATAACATTTTTAAAATCCCATGTCTTCCAGAATGCTTTCTTTTTTATTGGACAGGTTAATTAGGCTCTACTAAGTGGGCTTTTATCAAACATGAAAGTAAAGCCCAACGTATGATTAAAACCGTTTGGTGTTATCTGTTGCCGATTTGCATATTTCCCATGTGAGGCAGCCATTTTTTCGCATCGTTAGAAAACAAAATTATTGTTATAATTGTTTTTTTCTTTTCTTGTGCTCTGGGTTCAAAAATTCAGTTACAAATACTACATCATGGTATATACAGTCATCGTACATAACCTAATCCTTTTTGAACTGCCTTAAATATATTATGATGTGATTCAGGTTCGCAAGTTGAACATCTGGTGCAATTAATGTTTGATGATGTTTTAAGAATGCAGGATATGGGATAAACACTACTTGAAGTGCACTATTTAACATTTGANGAGTTTTATTTTTATATAATATTTAATATACCTAAGTAAAATATGAAAAATAAATAAACATAAAATTATTTTTAATTATTTATTTAAAATTTATTATTTATATAAATAAATTTAAGTTAATTTACTCATGATTTATTTTATGATATAATATATTGTAAATATTTATTTCTTATTGTTAATTGTTAATTTTATTGTTTGCAAAACTAAATCTTGAATATATTGTATAAACCCATGTATCGAATAATGAATGACTAATTGCAAATAGATTTTATAATTCTCATTCTAATGATCATTCCTTCCTAAAATTTATACCATAGGATTATAGATGAATAATTAGAATGATCATTCATCCTTATATCATCATATCATACCAATCATGTCATAAAATATTATAAATTATTTATTTATTTTGTTTTAAACAGTGTAATATTAATTTTAAAAAAGAATACATATATATTGAAAAACTATAATTCTTTAACCGTTACGTTTGTGTAACTAACAGAATTGATATTACAATTACATTGCATATGATGCATTCCTTTAGGAGCAGTAGTTAGACCAGTTGTTGAATTAGACGTACACGTAATAATTAAAAGGCCAATGTTTAGCCAATTTTGAGTCCAACACATGTATTTTCTATGGACTATGGTTAAAGTTTAAACCAAAAATTCCTAAATTCAAAAGTTAATTCATAGACTAATATAGTAATATATGTATAAGATTCTCTTTTAAGGAATTAATTTTATATTAAGAAAAATTAAATCATTACTCCTACTGATTAATCAGATTCAAAAACCAAAATACAGCTTAATTAAAGAAGGAAATACGAACATATATAGGACTCTAATCAAACTGCACACAAAACATAATCATCGTGCTTGTGCATTACATTAATAAGCTCTCAATAAAATTCAAGATCGCAATTTATTTGATTGTTAAAAATACATGAACCGTCATAAGCAAGTAACAGCCCATAATTGCCCCATCCTTACTTGTTACACACCTGACCTTCAATCTGCCCCTATATATACACAACCCTCATGTTAGTTAGTTCCCACAAAATTTACACTAGCTAAATATAAATAAAAAAAAAATTAATATAATACTAATAATATACAAATATCTATATCTATTGGTCCTCAAAATGTGGAGAAAGAATTCGGCTATCTTATTTGTCACGGCGGCCGCCATTTTGGCGGCTTTTGTCGGCAAAGGCTCGGCTGCCGGAGATGAACATTTTATAGGTACAAAGGGCAGTCAATTTGTGGTCAACGGGCGGCCGTTTTATTTCAATGGCTTCAACTCGTATTGGCTAATGTATATGGCGGCGGACCCCACGACTCGGGAAAAGGTGACCGAAACTTTCGGGCAGGCTTCCGAATACGGGATGAACATCGCAAGGACTTGGGCTTTTAGTGACGGAGGGTATAACGCGCTACAAACTTCTCCTGGCTCGTACAACGAGAACATGTTCGAGGCACGATTGAAAAAAAAAAAGTTATTTACTATTTTTTTCCCTTTAAAAAATGTGTTGGCTGAAATGTTGTTTTCGTCATATTGAATTTTGAAGACAACAATTTAGGTTCCGCTGGAGTAACATCTAACATTTTAATTACTATAAATTTAATATTTTTTTTTGTGCAATTTTAGTCATCTGAAAAGACTGAAATTGCAACAAAATTCTCAATCTATATCTTTGGGATATATTATTAGCAATTTTAATCTTATAATTTTAATTTTTGTTGCAATTCAATCCTTAAAAGACTGAAATTGCAGCAAAATAGTAAATTACATGATTTAAAATGTTAAATGTTACTCCAGTGTAACCTAAATTACTGAATTACATTTTAGCCAAACGTGTTATATATTCTGAATGGCTCATGTGATCATTCTTCTAGGGTTTGGATTTCGTGGTGTCGGAGGCGAAAAAGCACGGGATTTATTTGATATTGAGCTTGGTGAACAATTGGGAAGGTTTTGGAGGGAAAAAGCAGTATGTTCAATGGGCTAGAGATCAAGGCCAGCAAGTGAACAACGAGGATGAGTTTTTCACTAATCCTATAGTTAAAGGGTACTACAAAAATCATGTTGAGGTAATATTACTTAATTTACTTTGTCTGTTCGTCTATCCTATTATTCTTAGTAAATTATGATGGAGGTGTATATGTGTTAGTGTTGGGAGATAAAGAGGAAAATGACATAACACCACATTCTTCCATTTTTGTTAAAAGTTAAATGAGTAATTGCCATTAATTACATGGAGAAAATGTAAAAAGATTAACGGTAATAAATATCGTGAGAGATTTTCTATTAAGTATTTACGGCAAAAGTCATTAGCAACAAGAAGACTTGTTTGACAACACTTTTGCATTTGAAAGTCATTTGATAATTGTTTCGAAACAAAATATACATCATAAGCATCGTGAAATGTATTGAGTTTCTAGGCTGCTGTTTTTTATTCGATATTTTATTCAAAGCAAAAAACAATGAAATTTAATTTCCTCAATATTCTTTTTGTTTTTTCTTTTTCCCATATTGAATAGTTTTAATATATACTTGGTGTGTGCACAGGCCGTGCTAACAAGAAACAACTCATTTACTGGGGTAGCCTATAAAGATGATGCCACCATATTAGGTTGGGAGCTCATGAACGAGCCTCGTTGCCAATCTGACCTCTCTGGAAAATCCATTCAAGTATGTTATTCAATCAATTCCAATTTTGGGACACAACGTACAAATTAGCATACATTGCTAAATGTGTACAACTAGCAAAATAAACTCGTACCACAACTTTTGCATAGTTATATGTGATTGTTCTACAAATTCAACTACTCATTTAACAACATAAGTTTATTGGAAATTAAATTATGTATAATGAATCACAAACTCAATCCATCTGACATCGACTAATTGCAGGATTGGGTAGTAGAAATGGCGGCCCACGTAAAATCAATCGACCCGAACCATCTCGTCGAGATCGGGATGGAAGGATTCTACGGCGAGTCGACACCCGAAAAGAAACAAAACAATCCCGGCTTCCAAGTTGGCACCGACTTCATCTCGAACAACCTTGTCCCGGATATCGACTTCACCACAATCCACATCTACCCCGACCAATGGTAACATACATACACACACATTATAACACAAATTCCTATATATATTAGGCAGCCTAACCATTAGGCAGGTCAACCAGCCATATTTTGTTATATACTCTGTTTGTATGACATTTTCTAATTAAAGTAGGCATATTTTTGAAAAAAAAAATTTAAAAATATGTCGGTCTAATGGTTAGGTTGATCTGATTTGACGTACGTATATAATTTTGCGTGTGTGCATGGGCCCACACAGGATGCCGAGCTCGAGTGATGACGAGCAAGACGAGTTTGTGGAAAAGTGGGTCAAATCGCACGTAGATGACTCGAAGTTGGTGCTCGAGAAGCCGCTACTAGTAACGGAGTTCGGGAAGTCGTCGAGATCGTCGGGCTACGATGTGGGAGTGAGGGATAGGTATTTCGGGAGCGTTTTTAACGACGTGTTTGGGTGCGCGCGGGACGAGGGCCCGTGCGGTGGGGCGCTATTTTGGCAAGTGATGGCTAAGGGGATGGAGAATTGGAGTGATGGGTACGAGGTTGTCTTGGAACAAAGCCCGTCCACCGCTGCGGTTGTTTACCAGCAGTCGCGTCAAATTTCTTCTCTCAATTGAGCGATTTTATATGAATGAAGTAGTGTTGTTTCCCATTGTTAATTAATGTGGGCCTTGATGATTAATTTAATTGAGAATTCATCAATTTGGGTAATGTGGGCCTCCAATTGAATGTTTGAAGTTTTAATTTTACCAGATAGTATTGCAAGCCAATTTTCTTAAGGGGTGATATAAAAAGATTAAAAGTAAACCAAAAGAAGGGGCAATTAATTGATTTTTTTTATTTTTTTTTAAGTAGATTGAATTGAGGGTTCAATTTGTTACTTTCTGTGTCCATACCCTCGTGTAGCTTCGGAGTGAGACCCGTTTACTGGACCACCGCTCCTCGCCCTGAGCCTTAAACATTTAATTTATAATAAAACCAACATCTATGCATATATATTATACTGTATTATTCATCCAAATTGTAACAGAGTAAAATACATACTAATGTATGTGATTATAAAGGCGTGCCTAAATTCAATTTATAATACACGCATAAGGCGCTTCAAATATGCTCTGCAAGCAATATAGTGATCGAACTATAGAAGAAATTCATAACTGCCCCAAGTGTTTGTTGTAGCCTAAAGTGCATGTTCGAGTTTTGGGTTTGATTGCTTTGCTCGACGTTGCAACTTGCAACAAGTGGATGGGTTGCAACTCTTTCTTTTTTTTCTGGATCCAAACAGGCCCGAAGATTAAAAAAAATATAAAAATAAGGTCCATAACAACCATCAAACCACATGTTCGGTTCAAGACCCGTGGTCAACGGGCCAGATTCAAGTCCAGGTATATAAATTTATTTTTTACACATGGCTATGAATCTTATTATTGTGTAATTTGGATTCATTAAATTTCTTTATTTAATGAATTATATTTTTATTTTATATATGTAATATAAAATATCAAATATGCAATATGAGTGTTAAGTTATTCATCAAAAAATAATTTATTTAATATATTAAATAAATATAATAAAATAAAATATTATTAAATTTTAAAATATATTTCAATTGAAATTGGTTAAATGGTTTATAATTTGAAAAGTATACTAATAAAAGTTAAATTGTTGTTAATTGGAAGCACAAAAATTAGCTAATCGCAAATATTGATGTAAACTGTTATGAGTAAAATTACAATAAAATTTTAACTAGAAAATAGCTAGGCAGATTTTACGTCCATGTGAGAGATTCTTGCTTGAGTCGGTCGAGTTTTTGTCGCATTACCCATTTTTGATGTGCCCTTCTATCTGTTACCTCTTTACTCTTCCCTCTGGAGAGTTGAGGAGCTATCTTCGAGCGAACACCTCAATAAACTCCTATATTTCAATCTACACTCTAATTTAGTAATTTGATCCTTAACACGATTGTCTTACCTTGTTGGATATGGGTTTATGGGATTCTTTCCTCAACTGGCTTCGAAGGTACCTCCTGTTGTTGTTGTTGTTTTTTTTTGTGTGTGTGTGTGTGTGTGTGTGTGTAATGGGCTCTCAAGTCCCAGTTCATTTTTGTCTATTTTGAGTATTTGTTGTCTTGAATTTACTGTTGACATCTCTTAAATCATGAAATCTCTGTTCTTTTCTTTGTGTTGGTTTGGCGTGTTCCAAAATTATGCTTTTTGAATATTTTCGTCATTCCTTGTGGTAGCTTGTGGTTTCAAATGAATGGAAGTTTGATCTTTTTGTCTGGGTTTTGTCTCTGATGTTTTCTTTCGAAAATTTGGGATGTTTTTAGTTTTAGGAAAGGGTAATAATTCTTGTCGTTGTTAGGTTCGCCGTTCGCGTGTCGAGTTGAGACATGTTATTTATCCGACGTCTTCCAACACCAAACCCTAAACAAGAACTAGTTTAGTGATTTCATGTCGGATTTTGAACCATAACTCAGCCCATTCAGTTGTTTTGTCTTTCTCAAATTGACCTAAAATGGCTGTGTATCTTGGCAATTTGAGTAACTTACCCATTTATATATGGAATTCGTGAGTTGCTAAGTAGTAGTTCAGTTGTATGCATTAGTAATGAAAGTGAAAGTATTGGGAAAAATTATTTGGATTCAAAGTTTATGAATATCCCTTCAAAATTATTTGAATGGAAGTGTTTATGGGGATAATGTTGTTGGTTCGGTTGAGATTTGAATCAAAATGATGAAACTTATCATGGTAACTATTGCACAAGAAAGGAAGTCTCTTGTTCTATTTCTAATACAAATATCCATATTGTTTCTTAATTAAACAAATGAATTGTGTGTCTGAGAGTCTTGTTGCTTCATTAATAACCTATGGCTATCTATAAATTGGCATTCCTTCTAATGGATTTATCTCACTAGCATGTTATTGCATATCGTCTAAGTTTGTTATGGACAGGGCTATTTCGTCTTGCAGAAATATCTTTACATTGAACAATATTGCATCAATTTCGACAAATATCTACCGCAATTTTCTAACAAAGAAGTATATATTTAATTGAAGTAGATTAATTTATACTCTACGATAGCACAAAGTTACAGAAATATCGAGTTTTGATAATGTTTCCTTATTCCTACAAAGTTGGAGGTAGGTGTAGGCGTGAAATCTTATCACTATTGTCTCATTCAATTTTGTGAAAATTGAATGTCTTGAAAAATTAACATAACAGATGATATGATGATACGTCATATCATTTTTGATTCAACAGTTTAGCTGTAAACATTTTGCTGCCTAATCTATTCAAGCATAGGTTAGTTGTATTTCCATACTCTAAAACTGGATTTATTTTCTTGTAAATGATGCAATTTTGATAATATAACCAATACTTACTTACGATTTCTTGTTTTAAGCCATGCCCCATTTCCATATAAACTGTAGCACGTGTTATTCCATTAATAGATTGTTACCAGCTATTAGTCCAAAGCCATTCGTGATCTTGATTCTGTTATGAGGTTAAGAATTCTCATGATAACTTTTATAAGAAAAGAAAAAAATAAAAAACATTTATCTCCATTGTTTAGAGCTGTTTAATTCTGACAGTGTCTCCCCCCATCAGCTTATTCTTCAAACAGGAAATGGAACTCTCTCTTGTAGGCCTTCAAAATGCAGGGAAGACCTCACTTGTTAATGTTATTGCTGTGAGTGAACTTCACATCTCTCTGTTTTTAATAATTAAGTTTCTCATTTAAAAATTATTAGACTGATATATATTTTCCATCAGACAGGAGGCTACAGCGAGGATATGATTCCAACCGTAAGCATCAAACTATCTTAACTGAAGAAGCAATAAGTAATTTAAAAATATTTTCTTATCTGCCTTTCTATTGTTAAAACAGGTGGGTTTTAATATGCGTAAAGTAACGAAAGGGAATGTGACCATAAAGCTGTGGGATTTGGGAGGCCAACGTCGATTTCGTTCTATGTGGGAGCGTTATTGCCGTGGTGTCTCAGCCATTTTGTAAAACTCTCTTTGCTTCTGTTTGCTTACTGAGCACAATCATATCAAGTGGACAAATTGAAATTAATTTGAAAGCGCACCAAAGAACATAAAACTCCAAAAAAAAAAAGGATAGAAAAGCTTAATGATTAAATTTAGAAGCTTAAAAACCCGAAAAACTTGGAGAATTCCTTGAAAGGAACTGGAAGAACTGAAAAATCAAATGTCCTATAAACAATAAAAACCCATATTATGAGTTATAATTTTTAACAGCTCCTGCTGGTGGAGATTAGAATAACCTGGTTTAGGAATATAATTTTTAATGCTCTTAATCTGTATTCTGTATTTGACAACATTTTGTATTCATGCTTGAGGCAGATATGTTGTTGATGCTGCTGATAGGGACAGCATACCAATCTCTCGAAGTGAGTTGCACGAGCTTTTGAAGAAGCCTTCGTTAGAAGGGATTCCTTTACTTGTCCTTGGCAACAAGATCGACAAATCGGAAGCTCTTACGAAGCAAGCACTCGTTGATCAGCTGTAAGTAACTAATTTTTTATAGTAGTTTTTTAAAATAAAATGATTCAGTCTAATTTCAAGAAAACCAGACTAGTCTTAACAATTATGAGTTCCCACTGCTTTGCGAATTGCAGCTATTTGAGGGGGTTATTAGTTTTACTGTACAGAAATTTTGACCCATTATTTGTAGTGTAATTTGTAAGTGAGGGTTTTTGAAATTTCGAAGTTAGTGGACCATTTTTTGAAAATTTACTCTGAACTTGTTAAATTTCACTGAAATTGCTGTCTTTGACAAGCTAAATGTGAGTGTGTCAAAAGAAATACAGTTACATTCCACCCGATTTTGATTTGTGAATTTTCGTGTGTCAATCTTCACCCCAAATCAACAAAGTCAGATGAATTTTTTTGACTCAATAATTCCAGTATAATTACAATATTCTGGTTGAGATATATCTAAATCTAAAAACAATATTAGACCTAAATTCTAACATACCTAACTTCTTTTTGTAACTTAAAATGATCTTTATTGTCTTTATTTTGTTTTTACTTTTTCCCAATATAGTGGTTTTATTTAATTTCATTTTGTCTTCTAGAGATTTAAACTCAATCACTGGTCGGGAAGTATGCTGTTACATGATATCCTGTAAGGAATCTGTTAACATCGATGTTGTCATTGATTGGCTCATCAAACACTCGAAAACGGCAAAATGATGGAGCTTTGTGCGAACTTACTCTGTAGCTGTCGTTTGTTTTATTTTATTTTTAATGTTATTTTCTGCATTTACCAGCCATTATGATTGTAGTGTATGATTTATACGTATTTTCCTTTGAATGCGATGTCTCGTTTGTATAGCTTTTGACAGAACATATAAGTTACTTGTGATTTGAAGTTTCCTGGATTCTGGACAATGAATATTATAGGACAGCAAAAGAATATGTTAATGGAAATACAGTCACTTGTGATGCTGTAAATGTCAATGTATGTCCAGAAATGATTAAAAAATAATTGGGAATTAAGGCCACTTAAGATAAAATTGTCTTTAGCATTGTTAGGCATGCTTAACTGGTAGTGTGTCATACATTTTTAATTATTATGTATATTTTTATGATGAAATGTCGTATTAAAAATAATATAAACAATAGTATGTTTTATAGTGGAAATTTGTATAACGGTTGACCCTCATACATTTTTAATTATATGTATGTTTTTATGTTGAAATGTCATATTAAAAAAAAAAAAAATGGTTGATCTTCATACATTTTTAATTAATATGTATTTTTATGTTCAAAAATATCATATCAAAAAACAATATAAATAAAAATATGTTTTATAGTGTAAATATGAGTTGACCCGCGTAATAATTGACTTACTTTAAAGCAAGTGAAGCTGACAAGATATATATTTTTTTTCAAAGAAAAAGAAAAAGAAAAAAAATTGGCCCGTGTGATCGTCCAACACTGAATCGTGTAGAGCGGAAGGGTCGCGAAACGAGCTCTTGACTTTCACACATAACTCTTGTGGCTTGTCACACAAGTCGTGTGGATCTGGACAAGTCCAATGCGCGTTTTACGCGTTTCCATATTTTTATGGGTTTTTCGACCGATTTCGATTAGGAATCGTTTCCAACTATTTAAGGAACACTATGGCACGTTTTGGGAGTCTTGATTTTCACAGTTTTGGAGGTTAGAAACACGTGCAAGACGAGCAAAAAATGCCGGGAAGAAGATCTACAAAATCAAATAAGTTTTTTCTTTTTTTTTTTCTCTTTTGAACTCAATGTTTTATATTTATTTTCCTAATTTTAGAAGCATGTTTCTAGGTTAAATTTATTTTAGATTCTATGATTTATTAGTACTCGAATTTATGATATAGTTTTTATTGCTTTCATTCCAGTTTATCTTTCGTTTATAAATTTCTTGTACTAGTTTTTATTGTATGAGTAGACGCTATGGATGCATATTTGTAATTGATTTGAAACCGAGAAAAGATAATTGGTTGCTAGAACTGATAAATTTATAAAGTAAGAAAATAAACAGACCAAGAGGTTGACAGGATGTTACGAGAGAATGAAAATCCTACAAACTTATGGAGTCAGTTGGTCATCTTGAAACCAGTAGGAGATAGTTAGCAATTAATCTACGGTTAACTTGTTTGTGAGAGAGAACAAATTAATTTAGCAGTTAGTTCTATGATTGATAAAGTTGAATAAAGTTTGGATGAATTTTAACATTTTATGAATTAATTCCAAAGAACGTTTAGCCTAGAATCTATCTTTCGTATCTTATTTATTCCATAATTTAGATCAATCTTTTATTTCTTAGATAATTTAGTTCTTGCATTCTTTGTTAATAATCATAACTCAAATTAATAGTCTAAAGAATACTTAATCGCTGATATTTTGATATTTAATTAATTTAACAATAATCTCTGTGTAATACAACTTTTCTCGTCACTGCCTGTAGCTATGTCGTACACTTGCAAATAGCAAAAATGTTTAGTGAACAGGGGGTTCGAGTTGGTCACTTTGGAAGGAGTTTCGACTCGTTTGGTACGGATCTAGTTAATCAAAGTTTGCAGTTTCTAGATCTTGTTGGGTTGTGTTGTTTTCTAACGTCGGGGACAATGTTATTTGGTGTTTTTGGTTGGTTGCTGGGGGATGATTGTTTTTTATTTTTTTAGTTTCTATGTTCTAGTCTTGTTGGGTGTGGTGTTTGGTGTGTTTAGGTTTGTGTGTTTGTCTTTGTATTTGTGTTGGTGTTAGTGTTCAATTATCTCATTTGGTAGTTAGCATTCTCCACTAGTGGGAGTTTTGTATTCTAGTTTTGCTAGATTATTAGTCTGCGAGTGTTTAGTGTAGCATTTTCTAGGCTACAGCTCTTCCGACTTGTATGCCTCTCTGATTTAGCTGTGGCTACTTCATTCAGCTAGTTAGTCGCTTGTAATTATGTATTATTAATATATTCTGTCGTTGAGAAAAAAAAAACTACAATTGCACGACTTGAGACTTTTCAAAATCAGAATGTTACTATTCGTTTTTTCATCCAATATGCGGTCATTTTCATCTCCTATCTGAGTTATAATTTTTAGTAATCATCGTAAGATACAAAGTCGAAAGATTAAATACCTAATGGTAATTTCATATATGTGGATTCTTCATATAAGATTATATGGTAGACGAAAATTTAATATTATCCCGTTTATCACGTAACAAATTAAACTAAAATATTCAACAATATCAAAATCCTACATTCCCATGAAAATAATACGGTTTTAGAATTTTCAAAATATGCTGATGTTACAAATAATTTTTTCAAATCTTTCCTAAAATATGTGCTCGGAATCATCTTTCATGAATCAAAGCTATATCTTAATTTACTACTATGTTTAACTTATATTAATAGATGCAGTGGTTTTTAGTCACTGGGTATAATCGTTTTTTTATGAACTGTGTGTTGTTGATAGAGTGGTCGAATAGCTAGCATTATTCAGTAGGTTAATATTCCCACTTTCATCGACGGTTTCGAAGAAGGTTGTGTTTATGTCATTCGGAAATACCAAGAAGAGAGCAACATCGGCATACACAAATCCATCATCGCAACTTGGCGGTTCATCAAAGAAGAATAGTATAAGTACAAGGGTGCATTTCCATTTTATCATTTCGATTGTAGGAGTTTTATGACAATATTATTGATATGATAATGTCGACGAATTGATATTGTTTGGTATGCAACATTCAATGTTTTTTATATTATATTGATTATTTTATTTATTACTATGTTAAATACAGTTTATATATGTTTTGTATTTCAAACCGCCTGATAATGCATGAAATTAGTTTTTATTATATATCATGTTTCGATGTTATTACCTTGATTATGGAGACCTATCTTATTCAAATCAATAATATATAATTTATTTCATATTTAATTTTGTATTACTGTTATTGTCATACTGAGATGTTTACATATAAATAACTATATTTAAAATAAAGTTCTAGAAAAGATTTTAAGAAACAAGTCTATTCTTGTATCATGGGATGCTCACTAGTAGTGGACTAAAATCATAGGACAAATTAATAATAACAAAAAAAAAAAGAAATAAAAAATAAATCATTATAATTAGAAATTAAATTTATCCCTTTAAAAAAAAAAAAAAAACTTGGTTTTTAATAAGATGGAAAAACAAAATCATCTTTTATAATGGAATTAAAGCAGTTTTACCAACATATGCCATAGACTTTAAATTTGTTCTGTGTATAACTTTTCTGCACAAATCAAGTATGTTTTTGGTGGTCTTCACCGGGCTAACCTTAGATAGCTCTAATATTTACACAATCATACATTTTTTAAATAAATTTCTATAATCATATTCTATAATGTAATACTTCAAAAAAACATTAAAAAAAAAAGTACCACAATTTATAGTTTAATTAAATATGCATTTCTGTTCAAAATGTATGATGGGTCAATTCGCCTAATCGTTTGTTCGCATAACAACATAATCTGTTCTAAACATTTATTCCAAACAATATTGAAAGTGAACGAATGTTGTGTATTTACCTTTCACATCCCATCATCTCTTCACGATATTGTTGTTGTTGTTGTTGTTCTTTCTAGTAACAACACTTTGGTGATGATCACAAGCTTCATAAGGGTTGTTTGAGGCATTATATATTGACTTCCCTATGAGATGAGCTTTCCTCGCTTGGTTCATTCTGTGTTTGAAAATTGATTTTAAGTTATATATCGGATAAATTAATGCAATAAAATCTCAAAGTAGTACTTATATCATAAGATCATGCTTTAGATGATATTCATGCAAATGATTGAAATAACAAAATTATTTAAATTAACAATTTGTTACAATGAATTTGAAATATTTGCATTACCTATGTAATCGTTTTTCCAGGAATCTAGCTAGAGTCGCCCTCCGAGCCATAGCCACTGTTGGAGTATATCCTGTTTCGTTTAATCATATATAATATTTAAACACTACACAAATTACTAATTACTACTTTACTTACCCGTATTATGATTAAATATTTAGCATCCTAAAATAAGATGATTTATATAAAAGGATAGAGGACCAAAATTAACCTGGTCCTGTGTTGCAGATTCTTGCATGAACCGAAAGACTGGGAACTGGCTGTGGCTGGAAGTTATAAGTCAAAAACAATTATAAACATAATTGAGATTTTAATAAAAAGAGATTTTACTACTATTATTATTTTAATTATAAAAGGAGATATTGAATTTTAGGATAATTGAATTTTTTGGAAAAAGTAGTACCTTATCTTGTGCATTATCATAGAGCATGGTTATTGATGCAGGCTCGGCTTGAATTTCATGTATTTTCCTAAAATGGCACAAACACAATTCAAGGATATATTCAATCTTTGTGCCAAATGCTAATTGTCTGTTTACCAATTATATATAAATACTAGTACCGAAAAAAGGGAATCGTACGGATGAAACCCCAAAATCATTT